ATAATAATAATAATAATAATACGGTTATAGTAATGATAAGTCATCACTCCTAAAATTAGTTCATCTGATGTAGCCATACCGTCCTGCCGGTTTAAGCTTACATATAGACCATCCATATCATCACATATAGCCTACAGTATCAAAGGGATAGGATCAAAGGCAGTGTTTCTGCGCAAAGAGGGCATGTTAATGTTACAAATAAATAATCATAGTATCATAGTCATTTAAGTCAAATTAACAATGAAATTACCCTGTAAGTACTGGTTTAAACGTTTTGATATATAGTTACAGCGTAAAACCTTCAAATGTTTATTTCATAATTCGATTTTTTGAAGAGAGCAGTAAGTGTGCAGGAATAAGCTCTACATTCTGTTTCTTTTGCCTAAAAATGAGAAGACAGACTATCACAACCATACAAATGTTGCCATCTGGCAATCTGCTTTACCCAGAGGCTTTTAATTTAATTCCAAAATTTCCTTTTTTGTTTCAGAATCCCTTTTGTTGGCCAGGTATGTGTGCACATACAATGAATTTGACTCAGGTTTTACATTGCTCTCAATGTACACACACAGAAATAGGCATATGCACAGCAAAATAAACTAGCACAACAAGGTAAATATAAATGACTATGTAAAAATATAATTTATATATAAACAGCAACAATAACATTTGTAGACAGGAAGATGATAATAGTAGTTATTTTTGTGATAGACTGTACTGTGTAAATATGCCCTCAATAAGTAATGGTCAATATTCTATACAAACAACTTCTGAAAAAAGCCAAAAAAAATCTAATAAGAAGTGAAAAAGCTGGGGAAACGCTTTATTTAAAAGCCTACACAGCCTGGACCTACACTGTAATATGGAATATTTCTCCTACATTCTCCTCAGCTGGAATTACTCCTGCATGCTAAAAAAAGATGGTAAAAAGTTCCTGAGTATATTTTATGATCTGATGATACAACAGAACATAAAATCTATTTCCCTCCCTCTTAAAAAAAAACACCCTATTCCTTCTGTCTTCTTCCCCTGTACTTACACATTTGCCCTAGGATAGGGACCCTGTTGTATTGTTGCCCTATGTATTGACTAATGACACTGTATCATCTAAATCAGTGGTTCCCAACATTTTTCCTTAAGAAAACCTTTTCTATCATTGAGCAAACTGACTAAGTGAGATATTTTATAGATGTTTCATATTATATTCAATGCATAATAATAACAGTAGAAAACAACTGATGAACTGTACAATGAACCCAAACACTGAACAAAATAACTGCATAATAACTGTTTGTGTAAAACCGGAGATTTTGATGAATTTTGAGCAGATTAGTTCCTGTGAATATTGATCAGAGATGAGTTTTCCTGATATTTTTCTTATTCAGCGTCTTCTCAATTTACATCTAATAAACATTTGCCGAATCCAAACAGTCATTGTCTCTTGTACTTTGGCTCATTGTGTTCACTGTATTCACAGCATGTTTCTTATATCCACCTATAAAGGGATATAGAGGCTATTAAGGCTATTCAATATTAAAATGCATCAAAATAACTTGTATGCCTTTATTACACATCTAATCTCTGAAATGTGTCAATACATAATTTACATCAAGAGTATCAAAACCAAAGTTAAAATATCCACAATCTCTGTTATTACATTCACTAATTTCTGCCTTAATATTAAACTAAAATCATCTTATTGGACAGTAAAATCTGGCCATCCTAGTCATCCTAACAACACGACCCTTTAAAACACATAAACTCACCTTTATCTATTTAACATATAAAGTTAAAAACTGTAACAAAATCAAGGTAATAAATAATGTGACCATACATTTTGTGTACATCACACAAGTGACCTCCCATGAAGCTTTGGAATGTCAGTCATAATGTTGTCTTGGGCCTCAAAAATGAGGGTTTTCAGCACAGAGCTTGTAAAAAACTGCTCTGAACAAATGAACTTTTCTCATCAGCTGTTCGTGCAGATCGGATGCGAGGTGGCAGGAACAAGTTTGGCCCCATGTACAAGCGTGATCGTGCCCTCAAGCAGCAGAGGAAGGCTTTGATTCAAGCAAGTGGATTCAGAATAGAGAGTAGCCCACTTCTGGTCTCCTCAACCCATCAGAGAGACTTAACCTTCACTGGTGGCCTCCACCAAGTCCCAGTCCTTCACAGCACTTCCCTACCTGCAGCACAGAATGATCGCATCGGCTACCAGCCTCAGTCACTGCTCCTGCCCTCATACTCACCGGCTGCCACCCAGTACCAGGGCACCTCCTTCTCAAACTGGACCATCAAGTCTGAGCGCACCAACAACTGCGCAAGTTCACCAGGCCCCGCTACAGGGGTAGGCTCAGACGAGCTGCACTTGAGAGCTTTCTCTCCGCAAGGTCCCAGGATGCCTCAGCTAGTGATGGAGTTCCTGCGCTGCGATCCAGATGAGCTCCAGCTGCAGAGCAAGATCACCGCCCGTCTCCTACAGGAGCAGACCGTCTGGGAGAAACACGGAAACCTCAACACCTTCAGCCTGATGTGCCTCATGGCTGACCAGACGCTCTTCTCCATCGTGGAGTGGGCACGCACATCCATCTTCTTCAAACAGCTGAAGGTAAGGTCCTGTCAGCTGGTTTTGGTTTTTAAACTATTAGAAACACCTTCACTTAGTCCATATCAGCCTTTTTTCGTTTTACACTAAAGAGTAGACTCATATGTTCTTTATATATGTCCATGTCCATGTTGTTTTTCTGTTGTCCCACCATCTTTAACGATGGATGTATTAAGAATAACTGGGTACAGCGTTGGAGGCTGGCTCTGTTCATTCCTATGAAAGTTGCTTAGTGGCGCATGAAGCCAAAAAAGTTAATCAAATTACCCGGATCTTCCGTATATGCTTCCGCATCATGTGGCCCATAGAGCAAGCACATTGGAGGAATGGCTTTCAAGCTTTGGCGACCCCTAGTGGTTTTAAGGGGTGTAAGAAAATGTTGGAAAAATACACTGTAGGCCTATATCTGACCATCCTGCAGTTAAAAAGTACACAGTTATAACAACCAAAGAGACCAAAGAGACAGAAAAGCCTATTAAGTCTGAGTCTAAGTATGATTGTAAAATAAATAAGAACAGAATACAGACAGAAAATTTAAAAGTTACAATACAATGATTTAATCGTGCGCATCTTCTAGACTTTCCAAATGTTATTGTACTGAATGGATCAGATTCTGATAGTGAAATTAGTTATTTTGCAGGGGTTGTGACACTCAAAAAAATTTATCCACCATTTTAAAGCCGCTTCTCTCCCAATGTAAGCTTATGGAAAAGGTCTTTTTGGGTCAGTGAACATCCTGTGACAGACACCATTGCTGTAATTACACAGTTTGGCCACTATGTCCAATGTGCTTCAAAGCCCAGTGCTCTTTCTGCATGCTTATCTTTGATCATTCATGACTAACGACCTGAACATTGCCTGTTCTCAGGTTTATTCTTTAGTGAAGAGTTAGCTGGGAAGATTGATAGCGCTCTCACATCTGTCAGTAAGGCTCAGGACACTTTTCAAACATAGCCGGTCTAGACCGTACTCCTTAAAAAATTATTGATAGACATCCAACAGTTCCCACCATGAGCAAGCACTTGGCGACGGCGGCAAGGAAAAACTTTCTTTAAAAAGGCAGAAACCTCGGACAGACCCTGGCTCTAGGGGGTCAGCCATCTGCCTCGACCAGTTGGGGTTGGAAAGAGGGTGGGCAGGGGTGGGTGGTGAAGATAGAAAGACAGACAAAAAGGTGCACAGCAACAACAATTATATTAGTAGAAATGATTGATGATGATGATGATGATGATGATGATGATGATGATGACGACATTGTTCCTACAAGGAACTTTCATTAGGTGTTGATTCTGGTGGGACCTGTGAACAAAATTGGTTGTGTTTCTACCACTGTGTTTCATTGATTTAAAAGAAAATCGGACCCAGTGGCAGGCATTAAGAATAACTATATAGAAATATTAAATATTCTTTCCGATGGTCTTGTTTGTTTATGTAGGTTATATAGAGGCATCAGTATTAAACTGAGACTGTTCCACAACCAGTTAAATATTACTTAGTACATTTAATTTATATAAAACCTAGTCTTAAAACCTTATGTCAGAGTGACTGCAGACTGAACTACAGATGCAAACATGGGCAGACATGCACCTGCACACACAAACAAACACACAAGGTTTAAATTCACACATTGGAACATCCACTCTCATCTTTGCCCTGTGCTTCCCCGCTGCACTGTGCTGACTGTGATGAGCATATGCTGACAGGACGAGTCACACACACACAGACCAGCTGACCCAAGTGACTGAAACACTGTCTCAGCAGTTATTACACTCTGCTGACAGAAATCAGATGATTCAGCTGTAATGAGCAACTGAATACTTACTGATTTTAGAACATAGTATAGTAAAAATGTCTGTGAAAGAAATGTCTGTAGCCTACTCCTCATGTCTGCTTGAGGCCAGATATATATATATATATATATATATATCTGTGTGTATACATTTATTTATATATATACTATATGACAGTATATATAATGGACGCGGAAGTCTTAAACCTATTGTTTATGTAGTCTTTTTATGTAAAGGCCAGCAGGGGGAGCTCCATTGGCTGCAATAACACACCGATACCTTCACTGCATTGGAGAATGAATTAAATAAAAATTTGCCAACTGAGGAAAATTTCTTGCATTCTGACGCCCACTAAAAGAAGAAGAAAAAGGTAAACAATGGCGACCTCTTTTTTGATTTTCCAAATTCGTCGCGGAGGTTCTTCCAAATTTTCCGGCATCTGGCCTCCTCTTTTCGGGAACGGCGAGTATACAAGAGCCTTTATGGAGAAATGAGCCGACATCTGACTTAATTTATTAGCTCAGTGGGCTAGGCAGTGCTGATCAAATAGATTCTGTTACTGTGTTGACTATTTCTCACCTAAAACCGTTTCAGAAACATATTTTAGTGTACTGCTTAGCTGTAATAGGAGATCTTGTGTGACCAGGTGAATCACCTTTGTTTCCTGCTCTGGACGAGTTGAAACTGTGCAGCTCAACTGGCAGTATGTCACCTCCGCTGGCTCCAACAAACTGTCATGGCATGGACCATAACGCCAAACTCAAGGTTTCAAAACGGTACTCCATAAACCAATAAGTGACGTTCACTCTTGGGGAGAACAGAAGCTCCTGGGATGCCAACTGTTTTTTAATTGAGAAATGTATTAATTTGATTTGTGCATTTTCTCCATGTCAAAATAAGAACAAATACATTTCTCAGCTGCTGTAGTTAATAATTGGAATGTGCGCACAGTTGTACCATCTTCATTAGGTCCCCAAATTATCAAGCCTACAGAAATAGTTCAACATACAAAAGAAAGAGTTGTCAGGTGATCCAGGCATTCTGTGTTAGCATACTCACAATGACTGTCCTGGTTGGAGCAAGCTCAGATTGAGTGAAAGAGTCTGCAGACGATGAGCTGGATAAAACCTGTACTTAAACTCTTTCTTTCAAGGTGAGTGACCAGATGAAGTTGCTGCACAGTTGCTGGAGTGATCTATTGCTCCTGGACATCATCTCCAGACAGGTCCTGTATGGCAAAGAGGGCAGTCTGCTTCTGGTCACTGGACAGGAGGTGAGTAATCTCTGTTTATCTCTTTTATTTGTATTTGTAACAATTAAAATATATTTTAGAAACCAAACAGAGAAAGCAAAGGGCTACATAGCATGTCGAGTAAGTGGGGCATTCGTGCCTTAGTCTACGATACGTCTATAATAGCATCCATTGTTTGGAGAAGGGAAATCACATTTCCTGGGAAGGAAGTCTCTCCTTTATTCCTTAGAGAAAACATCTGATTTCTGTCACATATAATTCCCTAACATTTCCATTCAGTGTTTAAAGGTGCAATGTGTTATCCTTGGCCACATGCGCCAAAGAAATAGGGGGCAGCATTTCCCCTCCTCAAACCCTCAATGCCATGACACTGTTCAAGTACAGATAGACATGCATAATAAACTTTGCAATTCCCTCGAAAAGGTATACTATACTGTATACTTTTCAAACTCTCTTAACAGAAATGCCAATTGGTTACTATATGACCTTACCACAGTTGTATGAACCCACCAGACTTAGCTATGATTTAATTGAAATAAACGGATCAAAAGGATCCTAAAATAACTACATCATGATGCCGACTTGAAAAAAGTCTGAACTCATACTTTGACAGGTCTGTCCGCAAGACGACAAGCAAATAACTTTTCAAATGCGTGTTTTCTAAAAGGAGTTTGGTTCAGTCAGGGCAATATGCTAACTTGGTACAACCAATAGCTGGAATCAGATACATCTTTTCAGAATTTACCATGTAGTACAACTTAGTACAACCAGCTCCTTTTTTGTCTCGTCACTGTATAAATATGAAGTAATGTCACTGCGGCTTGCTGCTGCAGACAGGTTGACAGGCAAGAGTGTACATCCACTTGTTAATCCCAAAAGTAAAAAAAAATAACTACAAATTAATTATACAGAGCTATCCTCCAATCTGTAAATGGCCCCGGAAGCTCAGCTCTCCTCCAGAGTCCTCAGCAGCCATCTGTTGGCTAGCAGCTGCTCTGCCTGGCTCTATTTATTCTTCCTCTCACATTGACTGAGGGCAGACTGGACTCTATAGAAACTCACTATTGCCTGTATTTTTTTAACACATGGTTAACATTGTGAAATGGTCCCAGTTTAGGCACCAAAACTACTTGGTTAGGTTTAGGAAAACACTGTGGTTTGGGTTAAAACATTTTAGTTGCACCCTATACGTACCGTAACATTATGTAACTTAAAACTTTAAATAAGTCAACGTTAAATTTTGGTTTCACATGGGACACAAACCCCAGTCTCCTGGTGACTGTCCTGAATGTGTTTGAGCCATCCATCCACCCCACCACCTGCAGGTACAGGTACCGACCAGAAGATTTGTGAATGTTAGCACACATTCTTCTAACACTGCTGTTGTGTCTATTTGATTTTATTATCCCTTGTCCTGTGTATTATCAGAAAAAAGTGACATGATTGGGATATCCATGACAGTTCCTGATCAATGTCAATACTTGGGTTCTTTGGTTCAGATGGAGCTGTCAGCCATAACTTCTCATGCTGGTCCTACCTTGGTCAGCCTAGTCCAGAGAGGACAGGAGCTGGTTGAGAAGCTCCACATTCTAAAAGTGGACCGCCAAGAGTTTGCATGCATCAAGTTCCTTGTCCTCTTTAACCCAGGTTAGTGATATCTGATGCTTCTTATCCATAAAGCTTCATATTGAAAGAAAAAGACTTCGAGTTTGATGGGTTCTTGGTTAATTATTCCATATGTGTGCTTTTAGTTAAGATACCTGTCAATTAATCTGAGTCGCCAGATGGTTTGTTTCACATAACCAAGATAGTTTGTTTCATATAACCATCTGGGAAATCATCCTTGGAAACTGTTTAGGCAAGCACCAAATCACTATCACAGGCTAACTTTCACCAATCAGATCAAATAACCAAATAACATATTAAAACTCTTAACTGAAGCCAGTCGGGAGAAAAGAGAAAACATCTTTTCTATGGAGAAAAGCTTTCAGTGCCATTTTTTGCTTCTTTCAGTGAAGAAATACTCTCTAGTTCTGATATAACTGGTGCTAACCACGCAAACATCTGTAAAATTATAGCCTGTTGCTAGTGCAAGAACTTTTGCAGGGGCACAGGATTCAGGAACTTTACCTGCAGAGGAGCCAGGTTTTACATCTAGTTTCTAAGCCATAGCTCCTGCTCTCGGGGTAGTACTTTCTGATTGTCCCTTGCAACTTGATTGGATGCTGTCGTATTGGTTCAAACAGTAGTGGATCAGTGTGGACTTGCTGGACTTTCTATTCTTTACCATGTGTGAGTAGAACAACTGTAACAATTTTTATTTTATTTATATATATATATATATATATATATATATATTGATTTGTGGCACACTTTTTAAACAACATTTGTTTTTTTTGTTTTTTTATCCTTGAACTTGGGTGACTCAGGGTCACACCTTTGGTTCTAGTGGTTTTATTATCAGATGAAAAGGAAGAATAACTATTAACTAACATTGATACTCCAGTTCTCTACTCCATGATATGAAAAGGTTTGACAAGCTTTGATCTGTGTACATTCACTGGTTGTTACTTCCCCTCTCCCCCACTGACCAGATGTGAACCAGCTTGAAGACCATCAGTTCATAGAGAGTGTTCAGGAGCAGATTGAGGGAGCCCTGCTAGAGTACACACTGTGCGACTCTTCTCACCTCCTTGGGCGCTTTGCTCATCTGCTGCCGTGTTTGACAGAGTTACGCTCTCTCAGCAGCCTCGCCGAAGACTACCTGTACTGCAAACACCTGAGTGGTGAGGTTCCCTGCCACAACCTGCTCATTGAGATGCTCCATGGCAAGCGCAGCTGGGCATGAGGACGTAGAAGCATTAAGCTGTGATGAATGTCTAATACAATGAGTACAATTGTGCTTTAAGAATATATGCAAAAAATATATAATGTGATTATATAATATATATAATAATGTGACTTGTAGCTACTGAAACTAGTAACATTTTACTTATATGCAAATATGTTTATTTGCCTTTAAAGTCATTAGCTGATGAGATTGATATCAGTTTAATCTCTGTATCATCTTGTACAGAGAAAGGTGTGGGGAAAACAAAATGGAAAACACTTCTAGCCTTCAACATAAGAGAAAAACAAAACCAAAGCTGTTTTGTAACAGTGTAAAATGGTTCCAAAATATTAGCCAATAAACATAGAAAGACACTTTGGGTTGGTGGCTTGTAGATAGTTAATTGATGAGTTTCA